GCAAAAATACGGGAAAATCCTGTACGTGCACAAACACAAGTAGATCTGTGTACAAACACACGCATTAACTTCTGCCCACAGTCTGATAGATACAGTGGTGTGGAAAAGTGTTTGCCCCCTTCCTCATTTCCTGTTCCTTTGCATGTTTGTCACACTTAAGTGTTTCGGAACATCAAACCAATTTAACCAATAGTCAAGGACAACACAAGTAAACACAAAATGCAATTTGTAAATGAAGGTGTTTATTATTAAAGGTGAAAAAAAATCCAAACCATCATGGCCCTGTGTGAAAAAGTGATTGCCCCCCTTGTTAAAACATACTATAACTGTGTGGTCACACACCTGAGTTCAATTTCTCTAGCCACACCCAGGCCTGATTATTGCCACACCTGTTCACAATCAAGGCATCACTTAAATAGGAGCTGCTTGACACAGTAAGGTCCACCAGAAGATCCTTAAAAGCTACACATCATGCCGAGACCCAAAGAAATTCAGGAACAATTGAGAAAGAAAGTAATTGAGATCTATCAGTCTGGAAAGGGTTATAAAGCCATTTCCAAAGCTTTGGGAATCCAGCGAACCACAGTGAGAGCCATTATCCACAAATGGCGAAGACATGGAACAGTGGTGAACCTTCCCAGGAGTGGCCGGCCGCCCAAAATTACCCCAAGAGCGCAGCGACGACTCATCCAAGAGGTCACAAAAGACCCCACAACAACGTCCAAAGAACTGCAGGCCTCACTTGCCTCAGTTAAGGTCAGCGTTCATGCCTCCACCATCAGGAAAAGACTGCGGGGCAAAATGGCCTGCATGGCAGAGTTCCAAGGAGAAAACCACTGCTGAGCAAAAGAACATCAAAGCTCGTCTCAATTTCTCCACAACACATCTTGATGATCCCCAAGACTTTTGGGATAACATTCTGTGGACCGATGAGACAAAAGAGGAACTCTTTGGAAGTTGTGTGTCCAAGTATATCTGGCGTAGAAGGAACACTGCATTTCATAAAAAGAACATTATACCAACAGTAAAATATGGTGGTGGTAGTGTGATGGTCTGGGGCTGTTTTGCTGCTTCAGGACCTGGAAGACTTGCCGTGATAAAAGGAACTATGAATTCTACTGTCTACCAAGAGATCCTGAAGGAGAATGTCCGACCATCTGTTCGGTGTTACTCAAGCTGAAACGAACTTGGGTTCTGCAGCAGGACAATGATCCTAAACACACCAGCAAGTCCACCACCGAATGGCTGAAGAAAAACAAAATGAAGACTTTGGAGTGGCCTAGCCAAAGTCCTGACCTGAATCCTATTGAGATGTTGTGGTATGACCTTAAAAGACCGGGCGTTCATGCTCGAAAACCCTCTAATGTAACTGAATTAGGACAATTCTGCAAAGATGAGTGGGCCAAAATTCCTCGAGGACGCTGTAAAAGCCTCATTGCACGTTATCGCAAACGCTTGGTTGCAGTTGTTGCTGCTAAGGGTGGCCCAACCAGTTATTAGGTTTAGGGGGCAATCACTTTTTCACACAGGGCCATGATGGTTTGGATTTTTTTTCACCTTTAATAATAAACACCTTCATTTACAAATTGCATTTTGTGTTTACTTGTGTTGTCCTTGACTATTGTTTAAATTGGTTTGATGTTCCGAAACACTTAAGTGTGACAAACATGCAAAGGAACAGGAAATGAGGAAGGGGGCAAACACTTTTTCACACCACTGTACTCGTTAAGAATCTATCTTCTCTTCTTCTTTTTCTCCTTATTATTATTATTATTATTATTATTATTATTATTATTAGTAGCAGTAGTAGTAGTAGTAGTAGTAATAGTAGTAGTAGTAATAATAGGAGGAGGAGGAGGAGTCTTGGAGGGAGTCAGTGGTGGCTTGACAGTTAAGGCTCTGGGTTATTGATTGGAAGGGCGGGGATTCAAGCCCCAGCACTGCCAAGCTGCCCCTGTTGGGCCCTTGAGCAAGGCCCTTAACCCTCCCTGCTCCAGGGCGCCGCATCATGGCTGACCCTGCGTTCTGACCGCAGCTTTATGACAGGCTGGGGTATGCGCAGAAAACAATTTCACTGTGCTGTAATGTATATGTGACCAATCAAGTGTACGTACAATGACTACAGTACACCACTCAGAAACACAGCAGGCTCAGGGTAAAACATAGCCAGCCCACATGGGAGCTTTTTATTTAAGCTCCCATATGCCTCTGGCACATAATCAGTCAATAATTTAAAACTGATCAACCCAGATAACTCAGCTGCTTTCCAGCTGATTTGTCACTTTCTGTTTGCTCTGCTCATGGCTACATATGCAAAAAGAGAAAGAAAGAACAAGTGATGCACTTATGACACACATTCTTCTGTTGTGTATGGTAATACAGCGATACCCTAAAAATTAGCGCATCCCCAAAATAGTTTATACATAACTCTCACCTTTGCTTGACCTGGATACAGTTGATTTGAACTGCTGCTTTAGTCATACAGACTGTCCTGTGCTCATCCCATTATTCGCATTAGTATCTGCTCATACTGAACATCCTTTCAACACATATACAGTAGTATTGTTTGACTTTATATAATACAGATTTAAGGAGTTATAATTCCACTATCTGGTGTCATACAGAAAAGGATGTTTCCAGATTAATTCTGGTTCCTCTTGAAGTTTCTTCCACACGTCGTCTTAGAGAGTTTTTCCTCACGACGATCACCTCTGGCTTGCTCATTTCAGGTCTAAGACTACATCCAGACATTTATAAAGCTGCTTTCAGAAAATGTCTATTCTTAAACATGCTATACCAATCAGATTTATTAGAATTGAACATGTACAAGGAAGACAGGGCTCATGTGTGCCACATTTGTCATTATACATTGTATGGCCAAATGTATGTGGACACTTGAATTATCACGTCCCCCATATCATATGTGGGAGTTCCCAGGACTTTTGTTACAGAGGCACATGATTGTCTACCATGTCTTTGTATGCTGTAGCATTATGACTGAATGAACACCTCTGGGATGAACTGGAACACCGTCTGCATGCCAGACCTCCATGTCAGACATAAGTCACAATTCAAAGGCAACCACTCGAAGCTTCAAGTGTGGAAGCTGTTACAGCAGCAAAGGTGGCCCAACTCCATATTAATGCCATGCCTATGGAATAGGATGTTCAACAAGTACACATGTGGTGTCATGGTCAGGTGTCCACATACTTTTGGCCATACAGGGTACATATAGCTCATCCCCCTCAAACACCGCCCTCCCACTTAAACACTCCACCACCCAACCAACATTTCTGATTTTGGGCCTGAATGACAAGGAATTTAGTTAATTAATTAAATAAAATGACTTTGAAAGAAACTTTAACATCTAATAAAATTCATATCACTTTCTCATGTATTGGGATCATTGTTTTTTATTAACTACTGCAGTGACACTGGTGAGATTACAGTCATTACTGTAATATTACAACTGCTGATGAAAAATTCCAACTTTTTTTCTGTGGTACAGCTTTCTGGGATTTGAAGGCCAAACACCACCACCATCAAGCCATGAAGGGAAATAATGCAAAAAAAAAGGGGGGGGGGACGACAGAAAAAAGAGGAAACAGAACAAAGTAGGCCAGGCCCTCGTTCTGTTGCAAACGTGATATAAAGTCCAGAAACTGGAAGGAAGTTTCAAGCTGAATTATCAACAATGTAAAGACAATGCCCAGTCTGTGGGATTATTAGAGTTGGGTGCTTACCAGACCTCTGACCTGTGTGTATGTACTCTGGGAACAGGAGGATTGGTGTAATATTTTGGTGGTCATAGGGAAACTAACACAAAATGAGTCAAAGGCGCCGGGTACGAGTTTCCTGGTTTAATACACACTTGAGAATAACAAACAGTGGGAAATCTCCCAGAAGGTTTCCTGCTGCACATTATCATGCTGCTAAATGCTATCACGCGATCTCCGGCTACGGGCATCTGAGTGTCAAGATGACTGAGTGCACAATAATCTGCTTCATACAGTGTGCCATTCAATGGCAGAACCCATGACCCCTATAGAGAGGAAGACAGGCAAAGAGGTTTTAGTGATGTATTTAAGTGTGTAGTTCAGCTGCCTCAGTGTAAATGGTGGACAATGTTGGTGCAAAAAATTGTCCACAATGCAGATCCAGTTGCCAATTTTATGCCATACATCCTTAACACAGATTTTTATCAAAGTAATAACTCGTTCTTTTATTAACAATAATGCAATGAAGTGTGAAGTCTTAAACTGAGCTTCCTACAGGTGCAATAATATTGAGTAATAGGCATTTCATTCATATAACCAGGATATAAAGGCTCAAGGGAGAAATCATATGTCTATGAGTCTTTCAGTGGTTAAGAGTGATGGAGGGGCCAAAAGGAAACTAGACCATGGGAGGCCAGAGCCAAAACAAGGCTGTGTAGAGCAGAGGTCACTGAGATCTTCCCCCAGACCTAGCGTACAGAGAGACCAGTCAGGAAGCCATTGTGTTGATGTAGTGTAGAATGGAGGAACACGGAGTGCTGTGGCTGGCCTCTGCCCTGGCCTACCTCCAGACTGCTATTGTTCCTCTGTGTGAAGTGCTCCATTATCTACCGGGCCCATTTCACCTCACTCACTTTTACACCCGGCGGAACAGTGCGTGTTTATTGGGCGGGGGGACAGTGGACAGTGCTGACCAAACACGGTTCACTTATGAAAAATCACATACAGTTTACACGCACTTATAAGCTTTTCCCATGTAATTATGTGAGCAAATAAACATCAAAGTGCATTTTATAATGCCCTGAAATTGCACATAAATGAAAAAGTACTGGTGGGAATTCTGGCTCTTTTCAGTGAGGCACATCATTTATCTCAGATCACTGATCAGAACTGATTCATTCGGCTCCCAGATGGCTCACTGCAATTTTTTAAACTTATACCCAATCTAGAATTTAAAAATGTATTAAATAAAATAAAATGTAATCAACTAAAATGTATTTAGGGGGCATGGTGGCTAAATGGTTAGCGCGTTTGCCTCACACCTCCAGAGTTGGGGGTCCGAATCCCGCCTCTTCCTGTGCTTTGGTGATTTATGTTGTATGCTCATGCATTTTTGAATTGTCTGTGATAGTGCCTTGCGATGGGTTGGTACCCCATCCAGGATGTCCCCTGCCTTGTTACCCGAGTTCTCTGGGATAGGCTCCAGGCTTCCCCATGACCCTGTGTAGGATAAACAATATAGAAAATGGATGGATGTAAAATCTATACAAATACTATTTAAATATTTAAATCTATTTAAAACACTGCAAGAGAAAAATTATTGTTTACTGTACATAAAAAAGCCACATACAGTATGTGAATTAGCTCTCAATGTTCAACAAAAAGAACTAGCTCAAAGAGTCGACTCATCACTATTAGGCACCCACATAGTAGGTAAAGAGGCTTAACAACTGGCATGTTAAGGGTTTTTTGTTTGTTTGTTGTTGTTGTTGTTTTTGTTTTGCTTTCACAAGGTTGCAGTGTCTTCCAGTAATTTACTGGAGACTGAATTATGTATTTGTGAAGAAACAGCTAAGCCTGACGGCATGTTTTTTTCAGAGCCCCACTAAAGGTGTGTAAGGTGTGCATATTGTACACAAGCGCTTAGTATACTTCTAGATAAAACCTTAAAAAGTTCTCCAATAGGGACAAACTAAAGAACCATTTTATCATCACACATCTTGCTGCACGTTATATAAGGAATAATAATAAAAAAAAAGGGGGTGTGTGCTGTTAAAGGAAAATCAACATGAAGCCTGACATGAAGTGGTTTATTGATTATTTTCCAATAACGGCAAGCAGCAAAATGTTTTAATCATCTGATACCACAGAAAACCACCAACACTGACATTTTTTGGTTTATTAAAGTATGACTTTGTGTACTTTTTGTCCATTTATAGTTACGTTTAAGGTTGTGGAACGTCGCAAAGCAATTAAGATCCTGTAATCTCTTCTATTATAACAACTATAAACAGTTTTTCCCTTGTCAGTCTTTTTTAAACTCTCAACATTAATAAGACAAAATTTTTCTTTTCACCAAGAAAAGTAAAAAAAAAAAAAGATGGAAGTAAACTTAAAGGAACAGCTTTACCGCTGACTGCTATAAAGTGACACTGGAGACTCCTTCCATGAATTTAAAACAAATAATAAGAAAATATATCAAAACATTCTGACCAGACAAATTTGAGAATTCAACAGTGTTATGGTAATGGCTTGTTGGGTGGAGTGGAGTGTTTTATATGATGCAATAATATACTTACAAGACTCCTAAGGGGATCTACCTTAGACAAACAACTTATCAGTGTCTTTGTGTGTCTTGTAGTATAAGACCATCTGGCTATGTGGATGAAAATATAGTGAGTTTTTAACAGAGTACAATAGTTCATGCAAGCAAGGGAACAAAGGTTTGGATTAATTCTGGTTCTGCTTCATGCAAAAAAGATTTTTATTTACATTAAAAAAAATGTTTAGTTTGTGTTTAGGCTCTCTGATATTGTATGTGTGAGGATAAAAACATAAAAAAAATGTTTTAATATGTTCTGGTGAGGTCTGGTTAAAATAAATTTTGTTATAGCAAATGTTTCACTGGCTTTAATTTTCATCCACCATCTTGATAAACTGCAGCACATGGACATTATATTATATAATAGGAATGGGCATTCAGTGAATCTGATCATTTGGTTCAGTTCACCAACATGAATCTGCAAATCTCATGATTCCCAAACCTCGTATTGCCTAAACCAGACCAGTCATTGTTTTTCTTTGCCCATGGATGAAAGTGTTTAATAAAATCCTCCTCCTTCTCATTAATAAAATAACATTTCGCAGCTTATAAAAACAATTAAATCAGCAACACACTACAAATATGCGTACAAGCATCCCTGAATTAATGTTATTGTGTCTGCTGTGTGTGTGCTTCTTTAACACGATTCATTTTCCTTTCATAATCACCTCCTCTCATACACAATCTGCGTAGAGTACTTCTTCAAGAAGCAGAAGTGCAGCGAATTCTTCCTGTCACACTGCCTCATACACAGCTGTGAGTCAAACACATCTCAGCAATCACACTAATACATGACTCAGATGCAATTTGATTAAACCACACTGCTAGATGAACAGCAATGCCTCCATTTATTTAATGAAAAAAAGAAAGAAAATAAAACGTTACTTATACATGCTTACACATGCAAATATATATATATATATATTATATACGCTCAAGCATTTAAAAAAATAGATGAACACATACATGTAAGCACATTCACATACAGTATATATACTGACATATACACATTTTTGCACATTTCTGTTTATATATTTTTGTTGTTGTTATGATATATATATATATATATATTGTTATTATTAGCTCAGCATTTTGATGTAGCTGTATTCTTTTCTGTATGTTAATTTACTGTTCCCTATAACTTTGTGAAAATTTAACATAGTTTACTTGGAGGCTTTAAATAAGACCTCGTGGATTTTCTGCCTCTCCCATTCATTGTATATTTGTATTCTTGATATTTTTTGAAAAAAGAAAAGAAAAACAAATGGCTAATATATATGTGGTGGTCTGGAAAAACTCTTCGGCTGTCCCTGTGTCTGAATTCTGGACCATATTATGAAAAAGCCAAAAATTGCATTTATTTCCTACCCATTATATATATATATATATATATATATATATATATATATATATATATATATATATATATATATATATATACAGTGGTGTGAAAAAGTGTTTGCCCCCTTCCTCATTTCCTGTTCCTTTGCATGTTTGTCACACTTAAGTGTTTCGGAACATCAAACCAATTTAAACAATAGTCAAGGACAACACAAGTAAACACAAAATGCAATTTGTAAATGAAGGTGTTTATTATTAAAGGTGAAAAAAATCCAAACCATCATGGCCCTGTGTGAAAAAGTGATTGCCCCCTAAACCTAATAACTGGTTGGGCCAGCCTTAGCAGCAACAACTGCAACCAAGCGTTTGCGATAACGTGCAATGAGGCTTTTACAGCGTCCTGGAGGAATTTTGGCCCACTCATCTTTGCAGAATTGTCCTAATTCAGTTACATTAGAGGGTTTTCGAGCATGAACGGCCTTTTTAAGGTCATACCACAACATCTCAATAGGATTCAGGTCAGGACTTTGGCTAGGCCACTCCAAAGTCTTCATTTTGTTTTTCTTCAGCCATTCAGTGGTGGACTTGCTGGTGTGTTTAGGATCATTGTCCTGCTGCAGAACCCAAGTGCGTTTCAGCTTGAGTACACGAACAGATGGTCGGACATTCTCCTTCAGGATCTCTTGGTAGACAGCAGAATTCATAGTTCCTTTTATCACGGCAAGTCTTCCAGGTCCTGAAGCAGCAAAACAGCCCCAGACCATCACACTACCACCACCAAATTTTACTGTTGGTATAATGTTCTTTTTATGAAATGCAGTGTTCCTTCTCAGATATATGTGCGACACACACCTTCCAAAGAGTTCCACTTTTGTCTCATCGGTCCACAGAATGTTGTCCCAAAAGTCTTGGGGATCATCAAGATGTGTTGTGGAGAAATTGAGACGAGCTTTGATGTTCTTTTTGCTCAGCAGTGGTTTTCTCCTTCTGACTCTGCCATGCAGGCCATTTTTGCGCAGTCATTTCCTGATGGTGGAGGCATGAACGCTGACCTTAACTGAGGCAAGTGAGGCCTGCAGTTCTTTGGACGTTGTTGTGGGGTCTTTTGTGACCTCTTGGATGAGTCGTCGCTGCGCTCTTGGGGTAATTTTGGGCGGCCGGCCACTCCTGGGAAGGTTCACCACTGTTCCATGTCTTCGCCATTTGTGGATAATGGCTCTCACTGTGGTTCGCTGGATTCCCAAAGCTTTGGAAATGGCTTTATAACCCTTTCCAGACTGATAGATCTTAATTACTTTCTTTCTCAATTGTTCCTGAATTTCTTTGGGTCTCGGCATGATGTGTAGCTTTTAAGGATCTTCTGATGGACCTTACTGTGTCAAGCAGCTCCTATTTAAGTGATGCCTTGATTGTGAACAGGTGTGGCAATAATCAGGCCTGGGTGTGGCTAGAGAAATTGAACTCAGGTGTGGACAACCACAGTTATAGTATGTTTTAACAAGGGGGGCAATCACTTTTTCACACAGGGCCATGATGGTTTGGATTTTTTTTCACCTTTAATAATAAACACCTTCATTTACAAATTGCATTTTGTGTTTACTTGTGTTGTCCTTGACTATTGTTTAAATTGGTTTGATGTTCCGAAACACTTAAGTGTGACAAACATGCAAAGGAACAGGAAATGAGGAAGGGGGCAAACACTTTTTCACACCACTGTATATGGTTGGAGAACAGATCTCACTCAATTGATCAGCAATTATTTCCTCTCCAGTGTTAGCATGCACATGGATCAGTGAAGAGAAGAGACAAAGATGAGGCTTGACTTTAAATGCCATGAGTGATTTTTATCTCAATTGATTTGGCAGAGACTGATGTGGACGATGCTGATATCAAAGTGTCAAAGTGAGCACTGATTTCCAATTGCAAACTTTAATTTTTTTTTAAATACTTTTTTCATTTGATAACAATGTTTTCCATTAAGTTTATAAATGTAGAGGTAGGTTCTGTCTTTCGGTGGAATGAAATCTTTAAATGCAATTTTCTTTTTCCCTTCTGGAGGTAACCAGATTTAAAATACTATAACTTGTGGTTGAGATAAGTGCAAATAAAGCCCTACTTGGATTGAATTGGTTTTCTATGGGAAATGAGGTATTGTAATTATGCCAGAGTATCTCTGGGATTCTAGTCACATCCCAATTTGTCATGTCAGTCATTTTTTATGCATGCAGACATCTTAAGCCATGTTTCACCTTGTCCAGTAGAAATTACTCCAGGTAATATAATATATCTTGTGAGGTTTTGCACTTTTACTTCAGTATAAGGACTCACCAAGAAGAGCTCGCTGTTTTCTATCGTCTCCTGACAAAAAAAAAAGTTTAAAACACAGAACAATAGAACAATATTGGTGATATTTA